AGAATATTGTGAAAATTTTAAATAAGTAACAGAGGAAATGACAGCGTCACGTGCAAAGCAAGGAAAATGAACGTTTACATTATAAAAAGAATGCGTCAAAACGTTTTCTTTTTTTTTTTTTTTCCCTGTATTGTCTTATCTTTATCTATTTTCAGATACACTGTGTACAAATATTTGGTAATTGTAAAATTATTACAATAAGTTAAAGAAATATCAAACTTTTTGGCGACCCCAGTCGCAACCCACAGTTTAAGAAACCCTGATTTAAACTTAATGTAATATAATAACTTTTTTCTCAATATCAGTAAAAGAATTAACGTGTCAATAATATTACATCGTGTCAATTATCCTAACCTGAAACAAAAAAAGTTACGAACAGCAGCTATTCATTCAAGATGCTGACATTAACAAAAAATTTTCGACATGGAATGACGTCACATGAAATCGCATGCTTTCTTCAAGGCCAGAATATGACCTTATATACTAATAATATGTTTAATGCTTGAAATCTTATTTTTATTTCAAATTTACTAAACCTTAGAAATTTTTATTAACAAAGTCTACTATTTGAAAGCGAGCAGTGACAACATTTTTCTAAATAAAGCATTTTTATTTCTAGCGCGCGAGACTGTTGCAGCTCGGGAAAATAAGTGTCAAAATTAGCGTTTTCAGAGTTTTTAATTAATATCACGGTCGATTAAAGTTGTAGGAAGATGAGAATGGTCGAAATGGTTTCACACGAATTTTTTTAATCCGGGGGTATTTCCCCGCCGTTCCGGAGGAGATGGTGTTATAAAAGTAGCTATAAAATTAGAGTTCTGCATCAGAGGAGCTGGGGGCATGGCCAATGACGTCACATAGAGGGTGGAGCCAAGGGCAACGCCATCAATGACATCACACCAGGGGATGTGGCCAATTACGTTACGAGTTGTTTTTAAGGCTGCTAGTTAAGTTGTAGACCTTCTGCTTTTCATTTAAATTTTGTTTTTCAAAATTAACAACGGGGAGCTTGGCAAACGCTAATGGCGCCCTCTAGGGATGAAAACAGAAAATGACCTATTTTGGAAATTTTTTTTAAATGTTCTGTCATCCAAAGTATAAGATCGAACCCTCAAACAAAATATCTCATCAGCTTAGTAGTTTGAAGCTTTTAACCACTAAAGCTGATGTGATGCATTCAGATTTAGGTTAAAAGGCCTATATAAGAAAATGAAATTAGAATCGGCTAGTCAATTGCAATTATGCCTGCGTCAGAAGATACCACCATTGCGGTGTGTTTATACACTGTTTTATGTGTCATTTTATCATCTATCTATATTCTTAGAGAATTTCATAAATTTCCTATTCATTTTAGTTAACATCTTAACGACAGTGGGAATCTATCATTTTTCAATAGGAAGAATATTTCTATGTGTTATGAAAATGAATTTATCATATCGGAATCCAGCTCATGTTGCAAGTTTTGGTGTTGTAGAGGCTTTATATCATTCTGCAGGAGGTAAAATTTCCCGGAAAGAGATTCAAGCATAGTTGGAGGGACTAGATGCGTATACTCTTCACAAGTGAATAGTGCTATTGGTCAGCAATTTTTGACAAGCTGATTTAGTAGACATTTCACATTTACGTGATCATAATGATGGTTATCGATATATATTAACATGTATTGACATATTATCAAAATATGCATGGGCTATTCCTCTCAAATGAGAAGATTATGTGAAAGCGTTTCAAAAAATAATAAGCGAACGTAAACCAAAATTACTTCAAACTGATCAGGGTACCGAATTTAAAAATAAAGTGTTTAAAAATTTTTTAAAAAGAAATCAAGTTAAACTTTTCAATACATTTAATACTGCTAAAGCATCTGTGGTGGAAAGGTTTAATCGCACTTTGAAAACAAAAATGTGGAATTATTTTGCGACTCGAAATACATACAAATATGTAGATGTCTTGGACAAATTAATAGAAAGTTAGTAATGCTACTTTTCATTCAAGTATAAATCGAGCTCCCATAGAAGTAAATTCAGAAAATGAGAGTGACGTATGGTTTGCCTAGTATAGAGATCATCCGTCTAGCGTTTCTAAATGTGTATTCGCTGTTGGTAATGTGGTGCGTGTTTCCAAAATAAAGCTTTCGTAAAAGGTCTGTGAAACCAACTGGACTGAAAAACTGTTTGTGGTGACAGTGTTAAAAGACACCCAGCAGTGTATAGAATTAAATATTTACTTGGAGGCTCAGTTAAAGGAACTTTTTACGCACAATAGTTGCAGAAAGGGACATCGAAAGATGAACATCGCATTGAAAAAAATGTTTAAAGATACGTATGCGTAAAAAACAGACAGAATACTTTGTAAAATACCGCGGTTATCCTGACAAATTTAATCAATGGATTCTAGCTTCTAATTTACTATCCATATAAAGTGTGAGAAAATACTGCATGCGAATCATTTTCTAAAATGAGTTTCTACGTAACACTTCCGAGTGATAGGTCTATGAATTATTTTCCCGAAAATAAAATTTCACGTTTTATATGATACGTTTACAAATTCCCATTGAATTAAAAGGTATGTGGGAAGTTGGTTTGGTTGAATTGCTATATATCCGCACACATGGCATAATGCATGCTTTTTACATAGAATTAGAGTACATGATGCCGAAAAAAATTTTTTTTAAACTATGTTTAACCATTTGTAAGAGTCTGAAGAAAGTTTATATATCGTTCCATGATATTTTTAATGTAAGAAATAAATATTTTTACTTCCTTGTACGAAGTAAAAAGGAAGTATTGTAATCGCGAAAAATTTCAGGCATTCATATTTCAACGAAAATATCCATTTTGACCGCTGTCGAATGGAATTTAACGATGCTTTTGAGTGACATCTGTACGTAAGGACAGAATAAAAGACCCTTTTCTTCCCAAATTTTTTCTCCCTTTTCTTCAGTTTCTCTTTTATAAAACTGATTTAAAATGAATTCTGAAGGTTTCGTGGCGTCTGTACGTACGTATGTATCTCGCATAACTCAAAAACGTGTAGCCTCAGAACGTTGAAATTTTGTATATAGGACTGCTATAACATATAGATGTGCACCTCGCATTTTGGTTGCAATCGACCGCACCAAACGTATATAATATGTTATGGCTAAAGCCCGAAGTTCGGCCAGTTCCCGAATTGGCCGGCCATTTCGCACATTGGCCGGGGCGTGTGGCCAATGTCCGATGTACTGAAAATGAATAGCGTATATGCGACTTTGGCCGGCCACTTCCCGAAGTGCCCAGAACTCCCTGGCCAATGTTCGATGTGCTGACTGTTCGGTAGGGGGTGCAGCTGTCGATTCTAGTGTGATGTCGGCATGTACATGGTAGCAAGAACAGTGTGTTACATTTTTAGTTGCACTACCAAATGCTTAACAAATCGCTGTAGATCTAAAAATAACAAACTGCTGTGCAATTCGAAATGTTATAAAAGTTCATCTTGTAACAAGTGACGATACTGATAATTTTCTCTAATAAACTAATTTAGTAGATAATGTGATTATCTTTTTGTTTGTTTGTTTGTTTTCTCCAAGGGACAGGACATAAGAGACCAGGAGGTTTCTGATACTGTGAGATCCTTACTCACTAAAACTTCTCCCTTCAGACAACAGCCCACCTAGGGCCACCATACCTGCTTGGCCTTTGTTCCGAAGGACGATCCTTGGCGCCTAAGAGGAGCGAATTCCTCGGAAAACTCCTCTGTGGCAGCTATGTGACTGAAAAACTCAATGTGACTCAATGACTCAATGAAACATCATTAGCATTAAGGCATGCAAACACCCAAAATTTGCTCATGACCTTTTTCTTCTGACTTTGGCCGATCGCCCCATGCCATTTCGCGAACTGGCTGGCCAAACCCCGAAATCAAGGAAATCATTGTGCGGCAATATTGGCTGTTTCGCGATCAATTCGGGAACTGGGCGACTTCGGTCTTTGGCCGTAACATATATATATATTCACTTTGTTACCCAGTTCAGTGATTTCAGTTTCTTTACTCTTATATGTTTATCAGTTGGGCATTTTTTGCTTTAAAAACGATTGAATTACGTTGTTCTTATCTTCCGGTTAAGGTTTTTATGCCTTTAGTAAATCTGCATGCGACATTTGTGGAGAGTTATCATCAATTTAAAAGTTGTTTAAGTGAGCCTAGTTATTTTTGTGATGGCGGACATGTTAGTTTACATTTCCAACTTGGCAAAATAGCGGATTTATTGCTAATCTAGGGAAACTAAGCTTGGCAACAACAAAGATAACTCCTTCTTTTATTATTGCGAATTAAATCTTGTTTAATCCATTCTGGAATTTATTCGAGGAAATAAGTGTTTAAGATTTACTTCGTAATTTTTAATATAGATATTTTGAGTTTTTATGTATTTTTGCCTTGTCGGAAAGTGAGAACTGAATGACTTGAAAGAGAAATACTGAATCGTCTGTGAAAAAATTGTTTCTTTTTTGTTTTGTTTGCTTAATTTCTTTTATACATCGTTTTAGATTTAATATAGTATTTAAATAGAATATGTGGCAACGATTAAATAATTCTTCAAATGATATAAATTTATGCATTCTGAGTTATAATATGAACGAAATCTAACGCTGTTAAGTGAACCTAGCGCCAGAGTGTCGCTATGGTAAACAAATATAGCGAATTTTAAAGAGTGCATTTATTATATTATGGTTTATGCGCTATCAACGAAGTAGATTTAATTCAATCCAATAAATTTAAAATAAAATACAAGAAAAAATGCGTGTAATTTAATATTCCGTACAAGGAAGTTATGTGGTGTACACATCAGATTTTTTTTATTTGAAGATGCTTTTATTTTGAATCTTTAATTTTATTTTACAAGTATATTTATTATAAGGTAAGTAATGCAAATGAAGTATAAAATACTGTTAAACAGTCATCATTTTTTAATATTCTAAAAATAATTTTTTTATTTATATTTTTTTTTTTTCTTTTTCCAGTTTATCAACTTTGGGATTCAGGAAGAGGAATTCAACTCTCTCATGAATCAGAATTCTGGAAGAATGGAACCTCCTTATGAACAGTCTATTCCGTATATCATTTACGCTGATTTTGCCTTAATCGAAAAAATAGATACTTGCAAACATGATGCAACTATCCGCGTCTTTCACAGAAAAAATACAACATCATAAAGCATGCGAATATGCTTATATAATTGTAGGACCTGATGGAAAGAGTGTTAAAACTATAACAGTATACTGAAGTCCTATCGTGGTTGTTCATTCCATAGAAAATATTTTACGTAAAGAAGAAAAAATAGCCGAAAAATTATCTATCAACGTTGTAATAGTCTCTTTGCATGACGCCTCAAGAGGAAAAAACATTTTAAAGTGCTACTCACTGCTATTTGTGCAAAAAAAATTTGAATAATGACCATGTAAAAGATCATGATCACATTACTGGGAAATATAGAGAAGCTGTATACAATAAGTGCAATTTAAAATATAAGCTTCGAAAGAAAATTCCTGCGGTATTTCACAATTTAAAATATTATGATGTACACTTACTTATGCAAGTCGTGGGTAAAATTCAAAATCGAGAGTTTTATGTTATAACCAATATGGAAAAATATATTTCGTTTAGTATTAGAAGAAAATGGAAAAATATGAGTATCCTTAATCTTTATTAACAGTTTGCAACTCATGAACGTGTCATTAGAGAAACTTGTACCAAACTTTCCTGAAGAAAAATTTAAGATTTTACAAAATAATTTTCTTCATCATCAAAATATAAAACTATTATTACGGAAGGGGATGTATCCGTATGAATATATAAACTCCTTTGAAAAATTTAAGGAAACTCAATTGCCATCTATAGAAGATTTTCAAAGTACATTAACTGGTGAATGTATATCCTCAGATGACTGTACAGGTATACATGCTCAAACTGTTTGGCAAGCTTTTCATATAAAAATCTAGGTGAATACCACGATTTATATGTGAAAAGTGATGTTTTGCAATAAGCATAATATATTTTTAAAGCACTTACTGCATAATATTTTATGCAGTGAGTGCTTTAAAGAAATAATAAATTCTTATAGAATACTAAATTAGTTCCCAATTTAATTAGAGTGTAAATTTTGAAAGATCCCTAATTTTCGATAACTTGCAACAGTGACTTAAATTACTAATTTGCTTTGCAGAATTTTAAACTACTTGACTGCACGCAAGTATAGCTTTTAACAAAATGCTTATGTTATGTATGTGTTAGTGTATAAAAGAATGATAAATATCTTAAGGAGTCAGATACATTTAAAATGCCAAGTGAAATTTTGTATACCTATTTTGATATTCTTAATAATGTATTTGCTATTTTTATTTTACCTCCCAAATATTAAAATATTTTAATTAAATACCTTTTCTGTCATCCATATAATATTGTATATAGTTTGTACTGCCCACAGAAATAAACAAATATCTGAATAAACTTATTCAGTGTGTGATTCCACTTTTTTATAATGTTATGTTTGTTTGTATTCCACATTTCCACAGAATCATTTTCGATATCCAGCCATTGACTGATATGATAGTCCAAAATTTCTAACTTCAGTTCCTGTGGGCAGTTTCTACTGCTATTAACGAGAAGATGCGCTAATTCTCCCAATACTGATTTACCATGTCAGTGTCTTGGATGCATCCCCAAAGTGCTAGTATAAAATGGTAATAATGGCTTTAATGGCTGTAGTGGGAAACAAGTATCCTATGGCATTAATTGCTGCTTGCTGAAAATCATTATGTGTTTCGGTTTCCACCCAGTGTCTACCTTTAATAGTTGAAAAATTTTATTATAAAGTTAATTCTTTCTACGGGGCATCAGAGCTACAGACACCATTTTATGTTCTTCCACTGAGCTATCCAAATCTGCATGCAAGGGTACAAGAGAAAACTGTTTCGTGGTGGTGGTGTGGTGTTTTTAATTATGGCAAAGCACACTAGGGCTATTTGCCTAAGGGGAGGGATGCCTTCGTGGAGGACTTTCTAAGGGAAACTGGCTCTTATACACGTTACACATGGAGAAAATCACGAAAACACCCATGCAGCCATGCAGTTCGCGGGATTCGAACCTCGGACCGAACTACCAGTGTTCAGCGACTTTACCGCTCGGCCGCTGGTGGGCAGAAAACTGTTTCGAACTACTGCTAAAGAAAAACCTGTCTTCCCTTTTCAGTACTAAAGATGAGAACTCTGTCTATGCTGTCATACAAAAGAAAGCTGATAAAATCGTTAGGAACATTTAAATCATTAGCGCTGACTGGTTCCAGCTTGGAACCTTGAAATTTCCTCCTTATTTCTATTAAGAGGTCACTGAAAGCTTTGAAGTAGTGGTATGGTACGAAGTCATAACCTTTGTCAAACAATGTAATGATTTTTTTCATTAAAAGTTTTTAGTATTTAACCATCTTGTCTTGCTCGTTTACATGCAGTCGACAACTGAGTTTTAACTTCTGCATCGGCTACATCAGACTTACAGATACGTTTAGTAACATCTACAGTTACTTACTTTGCGTCGTCATTCACCCTTTGCATTATTCAGCTTTGCTTTTAATACATCTCCACAAGTTGTCACTGTAGAATTTGCCTTAACACGAAACTACCGATAGTGGTAGTGGTGTTATTATAGATTGCGCATGGTTTCCCTTTAGATATTTAAATAAGACTGAAACCATTTTACGTGGATGTGCTAAAAAGAACTAGGGAAAAAAGTAATAATACATAAGAAACGCTGAGAACAACCATCATAGCAGGAATGAACACTACTTAAAGGACAGTCATGTCAATAAATCATAAGGCTGATTGATTGTTTCTCACAGGCTGAGCGGAAGTGTCATTTGTTTCCATAACTGTTACATTTGTTAGAAAATTTCATGTTCTGGCAGGGAGATGTGCGCAAATGCCACTTGTACGGAATTGGCATGGGCGCAAGTGCCACTTTACTCGCTACAGTATGAATTGCATGGGATTAAGAACGGGAGAATTAACAAATGGAGTGTAAACCAAACTTTAACGATGTATATATGTTACGGTGAAACACCGAAATCTGGAGAATGTCGACTTTCACCGGTGAATGTCAACATTCACATAGTCGCTTGGTGTATGTCCGAAATATTTTCCAATGACTTACACCGGTGAATGTCGACATTCACCATGTACTAATGGTGAATGTTGAACATATAAGAATATTATATTTCCTTCTGCGTAATTCATTCGCGAAAAAACGCACTTGAGACTCAGAATAAGAACTTAAAAATATAAGAACTTAAAACACACAGTACATTCAAAATGAGAAAGGAAATAATAGAAGTTATAAACTTACCAAATTATGTGATTCAAATCTTATTTATTGCAACAACTTAAACTATTATGACACTTTGAATTGCACAAGAGGCCCTTGCTTTTACAACTGCATTTCTTTGTGGAACACTTCCTTTTGGAATGGCAGCGTGTACATATACTCCTCTCTTTTCGATCTACACCAGAGAATATCTGTGATTGTCGACATACACCGGTGAGGGTCCGAATGTACAAGAATGTAAAGAAATATTCGATCTTTCACCGACGTATGTGGTGAATATTGACATTCTCCGGTGAAAGTCGACATTCTCCAATTTAGGTCTTTCACGGTAACATATATATTTTCAGATTTCGCAACAAGATTAAATGAAAGTGGATCAATTGTTTTATTTTATAGCTTAACTCAACTTTGCTCAGCAATGAGGTGTAAAGCTCACAAACTAAATCAAGTCATGAAATTAATAACTGAATGAAGTCATGTAATTAATCAAAAACTTTACTGTGCACAATATTTTGGGTAAAAACATTGTTAAACATTAATAAACATTGATCCATTAAGCGCATTCACGCCTCCTCGTATAAACAATAGCACCACTTTTTGTGTACATACCATCGCATGTAAATAACGTGATTAAAAATGTAATTGCATTTCACGCCTGTGCGTCGTTCTAAAATTATTTCACAGCAGCTAGCATATTGATAAGACAATGGACATTTATCGTGTAATGTTCCTGTTTCAACAAATGACTTTCTCAACAACTTTTTTAAAAGGGTAGGAATCGGGAAAGATTTATCAGTAGAAGGGTTGAGAGGATTAACAGTTGCCCATGGTTAACAGCGGATGGATCGGGAAGGATTCCGTCAGTAGGGGTTACTGATGACGAAACGAAACGCAGTCGCATGGACCTCCGACCTAAGGTTCTACCAATCAGAGTTATATTCCATGCGACGGAAAAGAATCTATCATCTACCGCTAGCGGCATTCACTGAATCAATGATAGTAATATTACAATGCTAAATTGACAATGTCATCTATACAATAATTGTTACGTAATAATCCGTATGAAAAATAAATATACGATCAATTAATAATTACATTGTCATGGATAGGATCTATGTTGTGGAGAGTGGAACTTATATATTAACCATTTTTTAAACCTATGTCTTCTTCAATACGTCATAACTTCATATTCTTATCAGTTACACACCTAATGATGTGTGTCCGTATTATTTTTGCAGTTATCCACAGAGTAGGCCAGTCACATCAGTTCAGGCAGTTGATATTCCACAGCCCAAAGTATATGATGTTGTGTAGACTATTCAATGTTCATATAAACTGAATTCTAAGTTAACTTTTGATAAATTCCAAGTACACTTTTATTAAGTTCATTGTACAAGTAAATACTACTTGTCCACTTCGATACATCATAACTTCGTGTCCTTAACAGTTTGCACACCTCATTATGTGTGTCCACAGCAATTTCACACTATGTCGCAATTATCCACAAGGCAATCACGAAATTGCATTTGAGAAGTTCATTGTAATATGTACGCTATTTTACTATTATCCACAGAAGCAAATGTTTTGTAAATAATGACTTGGCTCCCACATGATAAAAAAAAAAAGAAGGAAACTAATTCTTATACTTTTCAATACAATTCTAAATTGTGCAAAACTACAGATTTGTTAAACAGTTCCAGTCAATACAAATTGACTAGTATAGCACATATTCTAAAATAAAACGTCTAATGGAAAACAGGAACTAATTCCCAATTAAAATAGACATAAAATACATAATTATTCAGCACATATTATATACCAATCATCATACCATAAAAATACGCATGCTTCAAATGCTGCAACTAATTTTTTATTACAGTTAGAATATTTACCAATCAAACATACTACAAATGTACATGAGAGGGGGGGAAAAAACCTGCAACTAATTTTTTTTATGGCAGTTAAAATAATAAATTTCTATTATACAATTATAAATAGCACAAATAGACGGTGATGGGGGATTGTAGCGGATGAATCGACACGGTTTTGACCATAGGATGAAACGGAAAAGGATGAATTGGGAAATTCTTATATGGCCAGTAGAAAGCTTTTTTTTTTAACCCATTGTACTCGTATATTTTCCTGTTAACGGGCTTTGTAATTTTTTACATTAAGCTTAAAATATGCAAATGAGGAATATTTGTGTTATGTCACGATTCTTTCAAGAACTTGAAGTTTCAAGAATTCAGTTACACTGTAAGTGATTGCCAACTGAATGCATACGGAATTAATAGAATCAAATGTATGGTACGTAAGACCTATAAAAATTGTAAAAATGTCTGTTTTTATTATTTATTGGCTTAAATTTTAGCTGCAACGGTTTTAAATATGTAGGGTAAATCTTAAAGCGGTACCTTAAAAACTTCAAAAGAGACTTTTATATTCGGTGGCACTGCTATAAGTAATGTCTATGTTCGTATTCGAAAGGCGACTCTGGGTTCGACGACTTGATAGTGGGTTTCAATGTTGATTTGGTATGCGCTAAGTCATACGACTATATTGTCTCGTAGATTTTTAAT